TAAGATCTCCCCAAGCCTTCTCTCCTTGAGGTTAAACAGTCCCAGCTCCCTCAGCTGCTCCTTGTATGCCAGATGCTCTTGTCCCTTAACAGTCTTCAAGGCGCTTCACTAGACTTTCTCCAGGGCATCCAGGTCTCCCTTGTTTTGGGTAGCCCAGAACTGGACGCTGCACTTCAGACGTGTCCCCACTAGTGCTGACTAGAGGGGAAGGATTACCTCTGTCAAACTGCTGGTAATGCCCTTCCTGATGCAGCCCAGGACGTTGCCAACCTTCTTTGCTGCAAAGGCCCATTGCTGGCTCACGGTCAACTTGCTGTCCACCAGGACCACCATTAAAGTTTCAAGAAAATAAGACGTTACGTTTTCTAAAAAGCTACCCTCAACTTACACTTGCCCATATGCTCATTTTAAAAAACTGGCAAGAAGGAAGATTTTAAGATTAAGTAATCAGACTATGAGATATCTGCTGTCAGTTGTAGAAGACTTTCTATATGACCTTGAAGGGAAAGAAAAAACCCACATGAAAAACTTCTGTCTCAGTTCCCATCCTTAACGTAGAAAAAGCAAATAGTTGTGACATACAAATACAAGATTGAGGTCTCTGGATCAGCAACCGCGTCTCCCGCCATGCACATGTACAGCGCACAGCATAAGGAGAAAGAAAGAAGCAGAGACATTGATCTTGGTTGCAGCCTCCAAGCAAAACTGTAACGTAGAAAATAGGAATGGGTGGGAAGATTTGAAACAAGGTACAAATCCTTGGAGCAAGGATTCTGCATTCTTCTACATTTGGAAAGCAGCCAGAAACCTATACTGGAACAGGAATTACAATAAATGGAATTCACTCTTAAAACGCATTTCAGAAATTGTAACGTTTCTCTGAAATTAAAATAGTAACAGTCACAGAATTAAAACATAACATTTGTATGCGTGTGTGTGTATATATTCTTGTTCTGATCTTACTGTTCTTTATATTCTCCTGTTTTTCAGCTGGAAAACAGAAAAGGCATATATTTTCATATTTTATTATTTAAGAAGCTGGGAAAAGAATTCAGCTCTCAACTTGAGATCAAATGCCCTTGGGTTTTTGGTTGGGAGAGGGAAAGAGGAAGAGGTTAAAGAATTGGGATGTAAAGGGGAATGAAATAATCCACATCCTTATTCATGTGGAATACTTTGGGGTTGGGGGTTTGTTTTTGCTTAAACTCCAAGAACACTGGCCCTTGTTGGAACAACCTGAGTCATATTTTGCTGCACAGAAGAGCCTGGATAGTGTATACAAGTTCAGAATGAATCATCGGTGTATTGAATCACCAATGCAAAAGATACATTCTTTAACTAGACCGCATAGATAAAAACAAACACTACCATGCTCCTGAATGCATTGGGAAGAAGAGACCCAGTTCAGGGATGCAGAAAGGAAACCAACTATCAGCCTGTTGTTTGAATTAATATTTATCAGTTCAGCAGCATGGGAGAAAGGGGTAGAAACAGGGAGGGAATGACCCTGAGGAGCAAATACGGTGCAAGTGTACCATACTGAGAAGGAGGAAAGGGGTTCTCAGGATTAATTTGCTCTCTTGATAAGAGCTACTATTCATTTCTACCCCTTTGCTTTTAAAACAGATGCTGCTCTCACACTATGGCAACATAAATGACATTTCATAGTCTTTTTTTATCAGAAGCTTTCAGGATGCTCTCTTCAGCTTGTCAATTACACATGAAATCCCTTTTTGTACAATCATTCCCATACTGTCAGAACACCATGCTATAGCCCACAGTAATCCTTGGACTGAAGACAAAAACAGCACCACCAACATTCATAGCTCAAGCATATCCTGAAAGTAGCATATTCAGCAGCATTGAGCTCTTCAAAGAAAAAAGGACCTCATACCACACCGGTGGCCATTAGCACATATGTTCAGCCATGACTTGGAGAAGTTAACACCACTGTATGTTCAGTTCCCACACAAGAATGGACATAAGCCAACAACCTCATTAAGAAAAAACGTGCTGTCTCCCACAGCGCTTTAGGTGGACCATCAGGTCTCAAAGACCACGGCTGTTCGTTTGTTTGTTTAAACATTAATTTTATTCTCTAATGCCAGTGATTTTTTTCTAGAGATCGAATACTTCTTTTGACAACCAATTTACTCCTCCATGGAGCACAACACATGAGGATCTTCCCTTCTTTGTGAAGGCAGGTAGACAGGTTCCTGTTGTGTTCATTTCTTTCCCTTGAGCACTGCCCAGCAGCACAGGTTTGTATCAGCATAACTTTGCTTTAAAACACTCATCCATTTTCAAACCAAGGCATTTAGTTGCCCAACACCCACTGCTGGGCAGAAATATATGGCTAAGTTCTACGAACAGCTTTGAAAGTCACACTGGTTATTAGTCAGCTATTGCTGCTGAGTCAAGAGGTTGGAGCACAAAGGCCAAACACAAGGTATGGAGGTCCTACAAAAAAAAAAGTAGCTATTCCTTCTGAATGCATCTTCCAATGACGAAACAGCTAACTTTTAAGAGAGTACAGACTGAAGGGAGAACATTCTCCCAGTTTTTAAGAACTCAACACAAAAATCTAATAAGTGCTTAATATTCTGTACACATTTGGGTGTGTAGGAAGACTAAGGTTAAGTTCATGCATTAGAAAGCTATGTGCTTTGCTTGCCTAATACTAAGAACCTGTTGGGACTACACAGTCTGAGTGCCTTAAAATTGAAAGCAATCAATAGAGCAGAAAGAAGTGATAATATTGTAGCATACAGCTGAGCTCAATTCATCTGCCAGACCTTGCCCTCACATAAGCAACATTTTCAGCTGCTTAGAACCCAGCAGGGGCTGTATTTGATGAACCACAAGGCATCATTACTTAAGAACAATCTCCCAGTCAAACTGATGTTTAAAAGATACATTGCACTTTCCTTATACAATAATAGAATGCACACATGCACTCTACTGCAGGCAACAGCATGCAATCGATACTGTATTTGATTTTATAGCGAAAGCACATGTAATCCTGTCTACAAGAAGCCAGGCTTAGAAACTTTAAGCTACCCAGCACGATTATATGCAAGGCCCAGACAGATTTCCTTATCCTGTATAACTTCAGTGACTGGGATACTGAAATATTTTAGCCTTACTGGTTTTAAACATGTGAGCAAAATCTTCAATTCCTAAAATCAGCATAGGACTGGAGAAATAGATGGAGACATGGCAGTTCATTCCAGCTGAGAATCCCAAGTAGCCCTACTCGTCCTAACTGTGCAGTTGGAAAAAACTCTTGTAAACCTACTTAACTACTACTACTTTCTTGCTTACCTTCATCCTACCAGAAATAGGAAGACTGCAAACATATATCCAAACATATATCCAACGCTGAAAGGCTGTCCAACATTTCTAGTTACTTCAGCAGAGTTCTCCTATCATGGCACTATGATTTCTAACCCTACTTGCATCACTTGAAGCCAAGCCCTTAACAAAAAAATCATTTCATACTCAAGTCAAACTTGAGTTTTGGGGAAGACAGACAATTCTTCTTGTCCTCTTATAGTGTTCCCGATACCCAAGATTGTAAGGTCAGCTTGAAAGAGGACATTAAAATCACAGACTATGTCCCAAATGCTTTTTTGGTGTTAAAATCTAAAACACTACTGCCCTCTTTTCTGCCTAAAGGTGCACAACCACTTTAATCAACCTTGACAGTGGTAAGCCTCCTATCCCCAGGTGGAGAAATATGTCCATGAAATTGCCAAACACCAAATTTATCTGTGCGTTTGTATCTGTGCCCCAAACATAATCTGAAGGTGGGAATTACTATATTTCACACAGTAACCCTGGGGAGCAACAGACTTTTATTGCATCTCCATTAAGCAGATCATAACGTAGCTAAAGAACTAGGCTTGTGGAGAGGCGACCAACTATTACAGTAACAGCACAGATTGTATGCTGCTGTTCAGCACTCAGCTCAGCATGGAGTGCAAGTCACCTGTTCTTTAAATGAGAAGCAACCCGAAGGGCTGTGTAACACTTAGGAGATAGTAATTAATAACTATAGTTAGGGGACAAACAAATATCATGGCATACTGGAGAAATTAACACATTAAGAAAAACAAGAGAAAGAATAAGGGAGATGTGATCTGCTGAGCAGCACAGTAACTAGGATGAACAGCTGGATCGGTCACTTCCTCTACAACTGGATGACTTACAGCACAAATTCCTCTGCCTTGCTTATTTTTCCAAGGCTATAAATTTTTGTGTCTTTTTACTGAATGCATGCACACTTTTTAGGTCAGAGATTTAAACCCCATTTAAACCTTCCGGGCACTACCACAATGCTGATACACTGAAATTAAAATAACATAACCAAAATCCTCTAGAATATCACGTTTAGCTGGTTTCGAATAAGTTATTTTGGCTATTTAGTGACAGTATTAAAACTCAATGATTGGGCAGAACTCTGACTATTAACTGTGTAACACAGACAAAAGTGTGCTTCCACTCTCCTACCAACAGCAAGCCTGCTGTTGCATTTAACCTTATATTGTGGGACAATTTTTTATTTTTTTTGAACAAGGATCAGAGCTTGGCTCTTACTGGTTTCAACAAAAGGTGAGCAAGTAAATGTTTTTAGAAGTCTAGCCTTATTTTGTGAGGTTTTACAGCATTATTTCAGAGCCCTCCATCAGATTCAGTAATACTTAGGAGGTGAGGAAGAGAGACAACACTGGGAAAGAAAAGACAACATGTTACTAACATTAAAGGTTTCATGTTTAAACCACCTTTTCAGCCCTGCACACCTTTGGGGGCTTCAGTCTAATTTTTAAAATAAATTACTTAGTAACAGGATGTTACAGATATAATGAAAAACAGCCTTTGCTTCCATATAGTTTGAGACTCAAGACACTTCTAAAAATCAGGATCCATGTACCAACTACCCTGCTACTGTGCCCACTGTATCAAACAACATATGCATACAGACACATGAGCCAACATACCCAGGAGACCACTCTTCCATTGAAGCAAGGTAGCTTTGCGTTGTCGTCTGAGATCTCCTCCTTTACCACCCTGGAAAAAAATAATAGGAAGAAATTCAAGAGTTTGAAATTACATCAGATCAGAAGGGACAGTAGTTTTCTTAAATGGTCCAGGAAAAATACAAATTTTTACTAAAATGTTGGTATCAACAAGTATTCTGTATTTAAAGAATATGTGACTATCAGAACAAAGGAAGCAAGTAAAAATAAAGGGTAGAATAGTACCTTTCTAGACAACCATCCAAAATCAGTAGGCACAAAGTAATTATAAGCACTTTGGAGTCTTCCATCTCACCACAATTTTTAAAGATCTGATGGTGATTAAAATCCCACTGTGCTGTGCAGTCTCTGTGTCAGAGATCACAGATCACAACTTAAGGCCACTCTGTCAGCAAAGGGCTATTACCTCAATTTCCTAGACTAGATTTGGAGCCAAAACACAGCACCTTCCCTCCAAGGCACTGAAGGGGTTGTGGTCAAGCTTCATACTGAACCTTCCATCTCCTGTGCATCAGACAAGCATCTCAACCTTCTTCATTAACTCAAGCTCTCTTCCCACTCTTGCTAGCCACACACCCCTCTTGCTCCCTATACCTCCCTCCTTTCACTCCAAGGTGGTTTAAAAATGGTTAGCAAGGCTGAGGCCTGGCCCCGTCAGGGGAAGAGCTGACATGGTCAAATACAGAGGTGCAGCTCTGGCTTTGAATTCCCTCCTCTAGTCCATTCCTTTTTAAACAGATGCAATGCCAATACAGCATTCAGCTAGGAGCCATTCTGAAGGCTTCTTGATAAAAAGCTTAATCCAGAACTCAAACCCTTATAATTAAGAAGAATAAAATCAGCAATTTGTTTTACTAGCATAAGGGTTTTCATAATATTTTAAATTCTGAAGACACTTACTGTGACTCAGTATCTCAGAATCAGCATTTATTTCAACAGTTTAAGACTGGTCATAGCCAAATATAAACAGCACAACTACTGAGAAAACAGAAATGCTCCCATTTCATTAAGACTTAATTCCAAGCTTCCAATTCAGCAGCAACTGAAGTTACTTCAGACGTTTCTGTTCTTCTAACTATCATGGTAACCAATATGGCCCCCATTTAACAACTTCATATTCTTTAAATTAGCCAGTCATAGACACACATATATATATATATTTATAGCTACAAAAAGTTATTCTGAATTCTTCAAACAATTCAGTGCTCATTCATCCTCTTAGAAAGTAAAGTAATCATGTTTTAAGTCAGCAAGACCTTTATCAGGTCTGCCGGAGGCAAAGTGAGCCTCCAGTTCTGTAATTCCCGCACTAAGTAGCCCGCACAGCTGAACACGCTCTAGAAGGCCTCTCTAAATCCCATCCAGGATCGGGAAACAATGGTGCTGTTGACTACACCAGAGTCGCTTCCTTTGGATTCATCCAGATGAAAAGAGCAGGTTCAAAACCAACGAGTGGTTCAGTACTACTAGGAGTAATTAGTTACTGCCTTGAAGCACTCTTTGCAACAAGCCCCCAGTGAGCCAGCTTCTAAGTCTACAAACCAATTACAAATGTCATCTCTCAGCAGGGCACTTTAAACCGTATTTTTGGGGACTGCTGCTCTAAGCTGGAGAGTTCCAATTTAAAGCAGCAAAGATTAAGAAAACCTTGCATTTGCATCAGCTTCCTTAACAAACCTCCCTCATTTATACAAGGCCATGATCTCTCAGAAAGTGATTTTTGTCTTTAGAGAAGAAGCAGACATTGCTGGTGGCTTCCGAAGAGACTGTCAAATGAGAAATTTTAAAAGAATCACCATTTCAGAAGCCAGCCTGAGTGGTGCTTCAGTTTCAACATGCGCTTTATTACTTAATTTAAAATCAGAACCATTGGACTCTGCCAATTCTGAAATCCTGACTATAGGATTTGGTAAAACAGCTGGACTGCTTCATTGTTACAGTTCAGCAGTTTCAGTGTAAGATGACACAGTTGTGAATCAGTGCTATGATGGATTCTCTCTTGTTGACGATGATCCACAAGACAGGACAGAAATGGTCCATGTTATCTATTACAACACTTTTGTCTGGTTATCTCTAGTAAGGAGATACAGATGAAATGCAGGGCAGTTAGCTTCCCATTTGGTTTCTCTGATTAATGGTAAGAATAACATCACTCTTCAAAACAGGAGCCCACAGAGTCACCATTATACAGGACCCCCTTCCCATCCCCTCACTCCCCCAATAGGACATGAATCACTTCTGCCTAGAAAGCAGACCTTAAGGACAAGCTTCCTTTCAAGCCTTTTTTTTTTTTTTTTTTTTTAATCTGCAAATTGGAGCAAACTCTAAACCCAGCATCTGGCAGAAGCAAGGCAGCCCCAGGCAGGGCAGCATAGAGAATCCCACACTACACCACACACCCTGTACAGCAATTATTGAAACCTGAAGCCCTGCATAAACATCTTTTCAAATGCTACTGCTGCCTTCCTTGTAGCAAGATTCTTGTGGATTCTTCTAATCCTACAAGCAAGGGCTCACATAGGGCTGAAATGCAAGCATTCAAATGCAGGACTTGTCAAATTCCCGTTTCAGGAAGCCTCGTTTACAGAAATACTCCCGCACAACACAGCAAGCTTGCAGGACATTTCAATCCATTTTAGTCTCTTATTTCAAGAGAGAAGTAGTCCAGGACAGAGTTTACCTTAATTCACTTAATCCATAGTATTCTCTTTATCAGAGTTGCAGGAATAGCATCAATGTTTACAAGCCCATGGCTTCCTTTCAATGCAGAGCTCTCCTCTTCCACTTCTGCCTAGATCCAAATAAACTAAGGCTGTATGACAGCAGAGACCAACAGAGCACTTCTGCTAAGTCCTGGGAGTCACTTGTCCAAGAAGGGGTTTGTTTCATGATTCTGAAGAGCTAGAGATATTCACAAAGGTGGCTGCCCAGGTCAGGGAGAACTGGCTGGGTTTTTTGCTGGGTTTGGGTTTTTTTTAATATACAGCTTGAAGGAACTGAGCTGACTAATAGAAAATCATTCAACTGCAAAAACACCAGGTTTGCCCTTAAATACAAGGCTTTAGGACTACATACTGATGTGAATACTCAAGACATTATTTTTGTTACCTAAGGGCTCCAACCAAAATTGGGAACCTTTTGAACAAGGCACTGTACAAACACACAGGAAAGCTCTTCAGAGTGGGGACTGTCTAAATATGGGCAGAGAGGAGATATGGTGGCATGTTTATACCAAGTCAAACAGTAGATTCGTAGCAGAAATAGATTTCTGGCCTCAAGTCCCTACATAGGAGAACAGGGACAATTTGGTTTTGACAATCCCTAAGCTTTAAAATAGGCAACCTGAAGTCTAGTCAAACTCAATAAAAATTTGTGGTTCCACAACCACATTTTCCTTTATTTATGTGTTTGTCTTCCTTGTTGCTGTGTAAAAAAAACCACAATAGCCACAAAGCAACTGACTATGCATGAAACAGTGTCATATTATGAGGGGGGAAAAATGGTTAGGAAGGAGAAGAGAGGAGAGGAGAACAAATGGACAAATGAGTCTCTTTCCATCTTACTTTTAGAAAATTAGGAATAAGTGACACCACCACTAAAACCTGCATTTGCAAATTTTAATCCATTTCCTAAAGAAGGAATGAACAATCTCTTCTTTCTCCATATTTATTTGCATTGTTAATGGTTAGCAGTACAATATTAGGCAGTCTTCACCCCTTTTCTATTATTGGAAAGAAAAACATTTGAAAATATTAATTTAACTCCTAATCCATCTGTCCTCCCTTCACCGTTTGGCAACAGGAAAGAGATCATATGATTTCGTTATTGTTTTTAGTCATTTATACCTAGACTCTAAAGAGACAATTAAGAATAAACTCCATTGAAATCAACAGATACTCAGTGCTTTAAAATCCTTTGACAATTCAATGAAGCTCTCAGACCTGTAATTCTGGAGCTGCAAACTCTGTGTGCAGACAGAGGATTTCAACATTTGCATGGATCTCCAGCCCCAATGGACTGACTCGAATTCAGACATTATCTTTTGTGTTTCATAGAGTCCTGGAGAGAACACTCACTCAGCAAAGATCCAATTGCAGAATCAGCAAATAAAGATGCTGCAATAATTTTATCCTGACAACTGCATGTTTTAAATACCGTTCTCCCCCCCCCCCCCCCCCCCCAATGAAATGCCATTTACTGCATCCCAGAAATCATATGCAGCAGTTCTGCATCAAGCTCTAAGATTTAGGCAAAAGTCAAGCACTAAAAACATACTGATTGTGAGGTTCTCTCCAGAGAAAAGGCTTGGAGGTCTTTCTAAAATTGACACATACAGTGGCAGTCAGGATATCCCTGCAATACTGCACAGACTGGTTTAGTTGTCCTCGTGATGGAAAACAAGCACACTGAAGTCAACACTTAAAAACCAACGCACTCTATCACAGCATTAGCCTTCTGCTGCAGCTAAAGGGAACAACTTCCAGATCTGTTGCAACTTGAACTACTAAATATAGCCTTGAGCTATGAGGCAAGAGGATGACAGACTGTAATTCCCAGCTTGCTTTGGGTAGCAATCAACAGTGCCAAGAACATCAAAGACAGCAGCAGCCACTAATTTCAAATATCACTGTTTTACAAATCATTATTTGTAGTAAAGAGGCTGCTCCTTTCAATTCTCAGGAAGGAGAAGCAATGGAGAGAAGGCAAGAAAGGAATATGAAAGTTTACAGCCATATGCTTCGGTCTGAGGACAACTTTGTATTCAAGAAGACATCTTTTGCTCTACAAGAACTTAGAAGGGCAGAGGGAGACCCATGCCGTTGGCTGCTTTTGGAACACACACAGTCCATTAGGAACTAATATACAAGGCAGCTTAAGACCAGGGTGGATAAGGCCCTAAGTAATGGGTTCACAGCCTAGACCCAACCCAAGCTAGCATGGCAAGGAAGAAGTGGTGATGCATTTGATATGCCAAAGACCTCCTACAGAGGTGAAGAAAAGTCTGTTGGTACTGGATGTGGTCCACTGTGG